TAGTGTAAGAACTACCTTATTATTGTGTTAATGCAAGTGATGTGTTTCTATAAGCATGATGAGGATGACAATCTCTTATATGTGGCCTTGTCCCTATGAGTATGATAATGTGATATGAGCAAACGTGAAATGATGAGATAAGAAAAGTGAAATGTTGAGTCCATGAACATGTGAATGTGTGACATGCATCATATGCATCTATGTTACGAGGTACGATATGGAGTACACTGTCAGGGAAGGGCCTTCGGGTGAAACATCTCAAAGGAGTCCTAGGGGATAACGTAGTTTGGAAGGCCTAGTTCTGCCCGTTTGTGTGCATGAGACGTATCTTGCATGGCTTCACTGTCTCGACGAGACCCTAGCAGTACATCCTTCTAGTTGAGAATGCACAGTTGAGCCGATATGTACTCCTAGACTACTCCAGGTTTGTTGCTTCGACAACATACCACGTGATATGTGATTATGAGAACGTGACTGGTGCCACATGCATGCATTAAAGGTCGAGTCCATGACATCATTGCATAATGAATGATTGTGTGTGTGATATTAGCTATGCATGGATTGTATTTGTACCTTGTGTTATGATTATTGTGTGTATTGTCTAACATTTATTTCTACACTTGAACATGAGTGAGATGTTTCTCACTCCCTTGTTTATTTATGTATGTTTCAAATTGTGTTGTACGTGATCATCAACATGAGGATGTTGGTGATGAAGCTTAGGCTTGTAAATTGGGCATACTCTGATAGGACATGTGATATCGGGGCATAGATATGACTAGTTTAGGAATTTTATTGTCTTTTAATTATTTTTGGAACACTTTAGTTTCATTTCCTTTGTAATTTCCGCAAATGAATCATGACTATGTTACGAATGTGAATCCTTTACTTTTATGTTATATGAAACATTGTTTTAATTAAGAAAATTTTATTGATCTAGGATTTATATGATATATTTATTATCTATTTATGTTGGGTAGAGGGTGTCACAATTGGAGCAACTAAGAACTTATTTTGAGAAGAGGGAGGAGAAATGTTTCAAATAAAAGAGATGAATGAACAAGCTTATGATTGACTTAACAATATTCCTAAAGTATCTTGGTGTAAGCATGCCTTCTCTCACTACCCTAGGTGTGACATCTTAATGAATAATTTGAGTAAGGCCTTCAATGATACATCATTGGCAATAAGAGATAATCCCATAATAATGTGAGTGGATTAGATGTTAACTAACACATTGATTTGCCACTTTAAAGGAAAAGTTGGACAAATTCAAGGGTGACATAATGCCTAAACCAAGGAAAATACTTGATAGAGAGATTAAGGTGGCAGGTAATTGGATTCCAACTCGGGCAAGAGATATGACATTTGAGGTTAACCATATTCTTTGGAATGAAAAATTCATCATAGATGTGGACATGCATTATTGTTCATGCAACTTTTGGAGATTTGTTGGCATATCGTGTAGACTTGTTATGGCTATAATAAGTTATACAAAAGATGCACCAGAAAAATATGTGCATAGATATTACAATAAGGAATCATATGAATTATGTTATTTACAAAAAAAAAATATTCCTAATAAATGGCCAAATTATGTGGCCCAAAACTCATGGTGTGGAAATCCTGCCTCCTAAATAAAATAGGGGTATTAGGAGGCCTAAAAAACTAAGGAAAATGGAGCCTAATGAGATTGCTAATCCCTCAAAGCTATAGAAGGTTATCAATCCTTACAACTAAAGAAGATGCGGGAAAAATGATCATAATAGTAGGAAATGCACATTGTCACCACTTACTACTGAAGGTACTACAAAAGCACAACTTACTCAACAAATTTAGAACTAGTACTGTTATCAAAATTGCACAAATAAGATTAGTATGACCTTTGTGATTCAGTGATATTAAAATATGATAATTTACATGCTTTTTGTTTGAAAAATGTGTAGGGAGACTAGATATGCATTAACACACCCAAGACCAAAACTGAGGAAGCTTAAAAAGATTACAAAATATGAACCTACTACAATTCCTCCATTTGTTGTATTTGCTTAACAAAAAATTAATTTCATGCCAAGAATTTATGACTTGGTTGCTGACCACATGAAGACTATGGATGTGATGCCAAATATGGGTGAAAGTAAAAAAAAACGATTTGAACAATACAAGCAATATCGCACCAAATTAATAAGTATTCTTTAACTTGTATACCATATGAGTGACACATGAATTTGGTCTGTTGTTTCAAACTTTTACTTTGACCTATGTCTTATAACTATTAGATTCAATGCATGCTCAAGTAATTATTGACCTGGTTATTTATTTTTGAATAATTATAATTTGATAAATGGTTGAATATATTCAACAAGTAAATATATTTTATATTGTTCACATTCTTTTACATGAAATATAAACAAGGACAAATGACATAAAATGAATATTAAAAATAACTAAAATAAATAGTTAAGCATCTTTAGGAGACCAAAATGATAAAATATAGGTTAAAAAATCATAATTACTAATTAACCTATTTTGAGATCAAATTAAATCACATATTAATTCAAATAGTTTGCATTATAGTAATTACAACAATTGATCTAGATAATTACATATTAATAAATACATTACACATTTTGAAACTAGAATTCCCACACACACACAAAAAAAAATACCAGAAAGAAGTTTTAACTTCAATATTTTTCTTTGTAAGTTTATCTTCGTCCAAATAGAAAAATAAAGCTAGAAATACATTAATCCCTTAAACAAAGTTTTACATCATTGTTTCACGCGAACAAAATACACATAAAACCAAAATCATAACCCAACAAAATTACAATACAAATTAACCATGTTCCTATTTCTTTTATCAAACAACTTGTTTATTTTTCTTTTTAATCATTTTTTCAAAATTTTTCTAGTTTAGACTTTTGTAATATCTTCTTCAACTCCTCATTACTCTTTCATACAAATCATCTTTGATCTTTTATTTTATTCACATCTCAACAATTTTATTTTTCACATTCATCACATTTCAGTTTCACTTCCTGTGATTGTTCTTCAATGCTATAATCTTCTTCTTCGTCAACATACCTATTCAACATCAATGTAAAAACCTATCGAAAATAATTGCAATTTTGCTATTTTTGTCACCGAACCAAAATAATATCGTTTTATAATGACAACATAAATATTTATTTTAACGCGACTTAATCTCTGATGTGGGAAACCCTAATTTTTTTTCCAGCATTCTTTTTGCACTTGGTAATAAGATTTTCCTCATTTTCGCAACGAAATATTGACATCTAAACACGACGATTCATGGACTAGATTAAGGAGAAAGAATAACATTTTGATTTTTCCCCTCAATGTTGTCATCATTTTTCACCAGTTAGGTTTCTAAAAAAGAAGGAAGAGGATGGAGTTCTAATTTTAATAAGACATTGTCACATGAGTTTTTTATTTTGAAAAAAAATGTTGTAATTGCATGGAGTTTACTAGTGGAGTTGACGTGACTTTTCGTTAGCTAATTCAATAGTTAATAGAGACAATTTAACTATAAAGAATACAAAATATAATAAATTTTATAGGTATTAAAAAAGAAAAAAAATTATAGGAACCAAAAGTTCAAAATGAATATATTATAGAGATTTCAAACATATTTAAGCTTTTAATTTTATATAACCGATTATTTTGATCACTTTTGTATAAAATATTATGTTTTGTCATCTTTTAACAAAATAAATTATTTATTTTAACTTGAATAAACATACATCGCATCTTAAGCCTTCAATTTTTATATATTAAACACAAATTACTATTTTGTGTGAGCACATTTTAAGAAATGTTTTACAACGTGAAAAATTTATATATATATATATATAGACTTTGGTCAAGCACGCGTCAACGCATAAAAAAATATTTTTTATTTATCATAACTATTTATGAATTAAATATTATTATTTTAAAATATATTTATAAATAAATTAAAAAATTGTATTACAATATAAATTATTTATATAATTTATATGTTAAAAATACTTATTTATATAAATTTTAATATAATTTATATATTCAAACATAATATTTACTTATATATTATAAAAGATGCTTATTATAAAACTTATTTTGTTTGTTTAATGTCACCATAATTATATTTTTATTTATATTATAAACAACAGTTAATTACATGTTTTACTGCACCTTGAAAAAAATTGTTTGGCATTTCCTGAAGTAATATATAAAGTAAATTTCCATTTCAAAAAATTGAAAGGCGAGATTATAAAGTTGAGTATATATATATAAAAATAAAAATAAAAAAGCACCCAGCCCAAATCACCTTAAACTTTAAAGGCCCATGTAATGTAACAGAGATCCAAATCGAAGGAAACCCTAGTCTCTACCAACACTATATATTTCATCCCCTTCTTTCCAAAACCCTAGTTTCGTATATCTTCTTTCACACACGCAGCTTCTAATCGAGAAATCACTGCGCTGCAATGGATTCTGGCGTGCAGAGTTGCAGCTTAGCCGTGTTAATTCTCCATGATGACGAAATCCCCATCACTGTTCGTCTACTCTCTCCTTCTAACCCCTTCGTTACTACTCATTTTATTGCAGATCTCAAAATTTCTGCGTTTATTTTTGGTTTTTCAGGCCGAGAAGATCAACGCTTTGTTGAAGGCCGCTAATGTCTCCGTCGAGTCTTACTGGCCCAGTCTCTTTGCCAAGCTTGCCCAAAGTAAGAACATTGAAGACCTCGTTTTGAACGCCGGTGGTGCCGGTGCCGCCGCCGTTGCCG